ATTCCTGCTATTATTAAACCTATACTCTCTTGTCTACAATGAAGATAAGAAAAACACAATGGGGCCAGCCCTTGAAAGAATAGACTATCTTCTTATACTGTGGATTATTGGTAAGTATCAAGTTAGTTTAAAAAGTTCTGCCTTTATTTAGCCCATTGATTCTCCCTTGCTTGGTGGCATTATAAGCTGCCTTCAACTTGTAATTTTACACTGTTTATACAGGAAGAATTTGAATGCTTCCATGATCATTGAAGACGTAACTAACATTTTTTTTAAAAGATAAATGTTCTTGAACTTGATGATAAGGAAGCAGATCTCTTACTTAATATTACTTAATTACATGGAAGTTAAAAATTCTTTCTCAGTTGCTAAAATTGTTCATGATTGTTAAAACAGAAAAACAAATTTTGCTGATGAATTTTTTTTGTTATAAGAATATGAACATTTTCTTAGGTATTTTGAAATGTAATAATACATTTTATACTCGGTTGCATTTAAGAGTTAACTATTTTGTTTTATTATATCATTAGTTTTTCTTTTAAGAACCTATGAACTCTTATAGTTACATATTACCTTATATAGATAAAACATTCCCTGGTGACTCACTCTATAAATCAGTTCTTTGTAATGACAGCCAGATCTCTTTGGAAATGACAGGGTTTTTTTTTTTAAAAAAAAAGACATTTTATTTTCTGAAAATTTTTTTTTATAAGTATTATGCTGTATAATAAATATTTTAATGATCTTCTGCAGTTTTTACTGCCCTTGCCCTTTTTGGGAGAGATGGGAGGAGGAGGGAAGTTGAGGTATAATTACATTGTCTATTTATGGTCTTTTAATGACATCCCCTTTATTATTTCCCTCTGGATCTTCAACCTTGTTTTTAACCTCAGCATTTCCCACCTTTTTTTTTCTTTACTATTTGCTATAGAGTAAAAGGAATATTGAAATTTATTCTTTTCTATGTTATGAAGCACTGATTAATATGTTCTTGACTGTTTCAGTTTTTAAATAATTTAAGAAGAGTTAATGTACAGTGCTCACTTTTAGTTCTTCAGATATAAAAGTGTATTTTTGGGATTTTTATTTTTATTTGGAAATTAGTTCATTTCAAGTAACTTGATCTTACATCAGAGTTATGCATTAATGTTTAAAATTAGGTAGATACAGTAAAAATAATAGACATTTGAACTTTAGGTTAAAGAGAATTAAATAATTTCTTCTTGTTAATATTTTCGTGTTTCTGATATTTCCACTATCTTATCTAAAATTTAATATTTTAATTTAGGAAATAATTTATACTCTATCATATTTGACTCCAAATTGCATTGTTGTAGACCTTTTCAATGTGAAATTTGTTTATATTTTTAATTGGGTAGGTTAGGCTGAAAGGAATCTCTTAGAAGCACTTTTCCCCGCTATTTAAACTACTGCTGAAAGATTGTCATGTATACCTTAGTCACAAAAAGGGGAAAATTTATATCATTTATCTATAACCTATTGTTTAAATAGTAGTGAGAGAGAAAAAATATTTTCTTTGTTTTGTAAAATGAACAAGTCTGTAGCCAAGTCTGTATAAGAAGTAAAGTTTATATTTCTTAGCAGTGAGTAAAAACTCACTGAAGTCAGAGAGTCGTACCACTCCTTGGACAGCATAAATATTGCTGCTGTCACTGAATTTCACAACAAATGGTAAAACTGTGGCTACTCTTTTCTAATCGCAATGGCCCTGAACACACACACACACACACACACACACACAAAATATTATTAATTTTCTAAACATATTCTGTCTCAGTAGAAGAGTGCAGTATGAATTATGCCATTAAAATTCCTGGAAGTGTTTTTCTTTTCTCAGCACAGCTTCTGCTTTGAAACAGTTAGATATGAATAAACCTTGCCAAGGATGTTTTCTGAACTTGTTATGTCTTTAGATCACTCTGACTTCCTTAAATATATAGATCTGAACTTGCTCTAAGGAAACATGTAGGAATCATTTGCCTACTTGTTCAAAGTCACTCCTTGGTTCAATTTACTTTTTCATGCAATGAGCACAGGGACTTCTGACTCATGATGCCTGGCTTCTGTACATTTGTTTCCTGTTCTTTTCCTTAGCCCTCCAGGAAAAAAGTAGGGTTAAATTATGAAAAGCAAGGTAGAAAAAAGGAAAACAATGTGTTGATGAATCCACAGAATATTAATGGTATCCATTTACTTAATTTTTTACCATTGGAATATCATAGAACAGCCCTTACAGAAATGTATATTTTGAAATGTTGTCTACCTACTTTGTCTAAGCACAGGCAGAAACAGATATGGCCCAACACTCATGGAGCTTATGGTCTAATTATTGTTTAAAAGAAAAACACCCAATAACTTGAAAATCACACAGATAAAATAAAAACTTACACATGAGTTAAGTGCTACTAACTGTAAAGGTTATGGAGCTAGGAGAGCAAGCATTTTATAAGGGCATTTTACCTACTCAGGGGGTTGGAAAGTCTATCTTGAAGAAGTGATAAATAAGCTAAGATTTAAAGGATAAATAGGAGTCCACTTGGAGAATTTGGGAAAGAAAGGTATTGTAGGAGAATTGGGAGAGAAAAATATTCTAGGCTGATGTAAAAGTTACATTCAGGGGCCCTGTGGCAAGAGAGAGCATGGCACAAAGAAGGGACTGCGTAAAGGCTGGAGGAAGGAGGACAAGGGAAGTGGGATTTGAGATGAAATTATAGAAGTGGATGTTATACTAGACCATGGACAGCCTTGTTGGCCATATTAAGTAATTTTGACTTTATACTAAGAGCAGTGGAAAACCACTGGCGTTTTTAAGTAGGTGGGTGACATGATCAGATTTTCACGTTGAAAAGATCGTTCTGGCTACAGCGTAGAGAACGGGTTGGGAGGAAGGGCTGCGGCAAGAGTAGGTGGAGGGAGACCGATAAGGAGCCTGTTGCAGTACTCTAGATGAAAGCTGATGGTGCCTTCGACTGACGCCGGTTGCCATAGAAAGAGAAGGAAACAGATTCGAGAGATATTTACAAAGTAAAGCCAGTAGGACATGGAAATATATATATATATATATATGAAGTGAGGGAGGAGGAAATTATTAAGCAACCTAAGTATTCTAGAAGAGTACTAGGTTTGGGGATTTGTGAAAGAGTAGATCCTGAGTGTGGTTTTGGGTATGTTGTGGGAGAAAAGCCTTCGAGAAACTCAAAAGAGATGTCAGTCAGACAATTGGGTATCATAGTCTAGCGCTCAAGAAGTTGTTTAAGCTTGACTTAGCAGTATGCGAATAATCTGCATATATGTTGTAGACGAAACTGTGGGCACACGTGAGACACTTGAGAAAGTATGAGATGAGAAGAGAGGACCTAGGAGCAAGCCTCGAGGAATTCCCAGAATGACGGGATTACGGTTTGCTAATCTTACTAATTCTAAAAAACAACAAAAAAAGGAAGCCAAAATGTAGTCCATTGATTATGTAGTGATTGCATTGCTTACAATAGTTTAAAATTATTGTGTTCTTCCAATCCAGCTCAGAAATGTGAAATACATCAAGTGTATTAGCTTCCCTTTGGTGTGAGATATTGCACAGGAGCTGGGAAACTACCTGTCAGTGGTACTTAATATTCTTTCATATGTCTGCCTTTCTTGATCAAAATCTTCTCCAATTCATGTTGTAATTTTTGTCAAGAATTCCCTTTAGGTATAATATTACATTTTATAGAAATAAAACACTTAATTTCTGTAAGCATCTTTCTTGGCTTAGTGTTCTACTGTTACAGTGTTTGGGCTAATAAAATGTAAACTATTTGGTTTAACATTTTTGGTTAGTTTTTACCTATTCATTTTAAATAGAAGCTCATCCAAGTGGAATTTTTAAAAAGTGTTTTCCCTGTCAGACCTGCAAATATTTTAAAATGTTTTTCTACATAAAATATGGGTACTGTATAATTAAGATGTTACGAACAGAGTTTTTTGAGAATACTTCATGTGTTTCCCAGGGGACTTATTCTGTTCACTGGTAAGTCAGAGGATGATTCTGATTGGCTTAACTTGATCTTCATCCATATTTAGGTTGTAGCTCTCTGTTCTTTTGTCACTTTACATTCTCCTTAAAAATACCTTAGTGGAAGGAATATGTCATAAAGCTATTCTTGATTGTAGTACTGTTCTCTGTTACTCCCAGGAATATATAACTATGGAGAAACTTCTGGCCCAAGAAGGGGAAGGGAGTTATTTGGTTCGGTTGGTTTTTATTTATGTATATTTATTCATTGAGCAAATTTTTGAGCACCTGCTGTGTATCAGACACTATATAGGACATTTAGGACATTGGTTGATAAAACAAAGATTCTTACCCTTGAAGAGTTTACCCGAAGTGGGAGGAAGACAGTTAATAATAGACATAATAAGTAAACTATATCCATTGTTTAAAAGTGATAAGTACTAAGGGAAAAGAAAGAAGAGTTGGGGGATTGGGAGTGAGGGGCACGGGGTTTGCAATTTTAAATAGGATGATCAGAGTAGGTGGTGAGCAAAGATGCAAAGTGAGGGAGTTAGCCAAATGGATGTCTGGGTGAGGAGCTTCCAGCCAGAGGGAAGAGCCCACGTAAAGGCCCTAAGGCAGGAGTCTTGTGTGTTCAGAGAACAGCAAGGAAGCAAGGAGGCCAGTAGTGGAGGGAAAGATTGATAGGAGAGGAGACAGAAAGAAGAGGTAATGTAGGGCCTTGTAGACCATTGTAGGGAATTTGGTTTTGACTCTGAATAAAATGAGCTGTAAGGGAAGGTGCAGTGCCCGCTCTGCACAGTCAGCAGCAGCGGTGGTCTTAGGTTCTCATTAACATTCGCACTCGCCGGACACAGTAGGCAAAAACCTGGCACCAGATTTACTTACCTTTGGAAGATAGAAGACAGGAAATAGAGCACGTCAGCATGACAGCTTCAAATATATCTTTATTGGCAGTTCTTACAAAAGACGGGGCTGCTTCCCAGCCCCACAGGGGCACACTCAGTTGTGTGGAATGAGGCCATATTCATGGGTGTGGGCTACCCCAGCCAAAGAAGCCTGAAATCTACCAGGATTTCTTATAAATCCAGCAGGATATCTTAGAAAGCCTCAGAATGTAACTCCCACTACATGCACACTTTACATTAAGAGAGACATCACACAGAGAAGCTGAGGCCCGTGCTTCTCAACATGTTTTTATATAGTCCTGGTTGGGTATACTTTTAGTCCACTCTTAGTCCTCCAGTCCAGATGCAGTTTCCCAATCAGTGGTTGTTTTTATAACAATCTTGAACACAGCTGACCTTCCGTACTTTTCTTAATGTAGTATGTGTCCAAGGCAACACTTAAATAGATGATAACATGAGATTTTCTTCCCATGGGAAAAGAGTTCTGTCCTGCAGTTAATTCTTTCTCCTCTGGGTGTTAACTACAGTGTTTTGAGGAGAGAAGTAACACTTGCATTTTAAAAGGATTACTCTGATTGCCATGTTGAGAATAGATTTTAGGGAGAACAGGGTAGAAGCAGGGAGACTAGGCTATTTCAGTAGTTCAGGCCAGAGAAGATAGTGGCTTGAAGTTGAAATAGTGGTGAGAAAGGTTAGATCCTAACTATATTTTGAAAGTAAAGCCAGCAGGATTTACTGCTGCATTGAATGTGTGATTTAAAAGAATATCAGTCAAGGATGATTCAAGGGCATTTAGAGTGAGCAGCTAGGATGGGGTTGCCATTAAGTGAGATGGGGAAGTCTTCAAGAGCAGTGAATTTGGGTGCAGAGTTTAGGAGTTCAGTTGGGACATGTTAGGACATCCAGTTTGAGATGTAGAGTAGCTAAGTACCTATACAAGTTAAGTTTAGGAAAGAAGTTTAGAGATATTTATTATTATGTAAATACAGGTTGAGTTCAGAGATAAAAACTTGAAAGTCTACCACATAGATGGTATTTAAAGCCATTAGACTAGACTGGATGAGGTCACTATAGGAGTGAGTGTAGACAGAGAAAAGAATCAGGAACTGAGCCTTTTGGGGGTTATGTATTTAACATCAATTTGCTTTCTTATGCTTGTTTCACATCATTTATTAAAATCCCTCTCTGGGAAAGATATTGTCATATGAAACTTAAGGTTATTTTCTTTCATATTTTAAGAACATTTTACTGAATGTTATTTTTTTCTTCTGAATGAGGCTACAACTGACAGGTGTTATTTATTTAGTACTTTGAGTCTTAAGGTATTTTTTAGTTTATTATTGAATTAAGAGAGCATTATCTGATTTTTTTTTCTTCCTTTTTTAGGGATGATTTGGTCAGACATTAAAAGACTCTGGTATGAAGGGTTGGAAGACTTTTTAGAAGAATCACGTAATCAACTCAGTTTTGTCATGAATTCACTTTATTTGGCAACCTTTGCCCTCAAAGTGGTTGCTCACAACAAGGTGACTATTAACTATGTCAACTGGAGGCACAAGTGAAGTTTATTTAGGAAAAACCCAGGATATTTAGCTATGTATCTCAGAGTTACTTTGGCCCAAATCTGTGTCTGATGTGTTTTCATTCTAAACCTATCCTTGTGCAAGGGAATAGTACCCATTGTTTCCTTCCTTTCTAATAGCTTCAAGGGTGTTAATTACCATTAAATGTTCGTTACCTATTTTATGCCAGGCACCATGGTTGATACTTGCTATACTTTATCTCATTTTATTCTCACAGGGATTCTATGAGACAGATGTCCTTATCCCCATTTTGCAAATAAGGAAAAGGAAGCTCAGAGATAATAAGTAACTTGTCCAAGACCACACAGTAAGAAACCAAAACTGGATTTAAATCCAGGTCTGTCTAGGCATTTTCTTTCTACCAAATGCCAATTCCTTAAATCTGAGCTAGGTTCACTTACCTCATTAACCTATATATTACCTCATTAACCTAAGTAACACAAAGTTACTTAAATTGATTAGTGTTAGATATCTTTATATCTATCAGGAAAAAGTTTATCTGAATGGAACTCATTATATAGTGTTTTACACATTCCAAATCATGACTATTATCTAACACAGCTTAAAAAGTTATGTAAATTTAGTTATTTTCTGATTCCTATATTTTTAAATTTAAAATTTGACAAAAATCTAACCTTATAGACATCTTATAATGTTACTTTTATAAAGATTTATTAAAAGCCCAGGAAAGGTAGTGGAGATTATGTTAACTGTCTTTGTTTACACCTGAGTTTAGAATTCTGAGGCGTCACATTCAAGGAACTATTTATATAATATTTTTTGGGTTTTGACTAATTTATAGACTATAGAGAAAGCAAACTGGTTATCTTATATCACTTTATTAAAAACCTCTATTCCTGTAACTGATCAGTAGTACCAAACATGTTTATTAGGTATGTTCAATGACCAGAGTTGTGAAGTTATTAAGAAAATGAAAAGATCATATATAGATAGATTGTTTGATAGAGAGGTTGATGGTCATTGGTTTTTTTAGACTGGTCTCTTTAGTTCTAGAAGCAGGGTGTCCATATAGTTTATTATTCAGACCAAGACACTTTACACATGAAAGGGGGCACAATTAATAATTATGCCAGGAAAACTGGTATGTAATCTGGGACTGTCCCAGGCAATTGGAACATGTGGTCATTCTATGTCTAAAGTATAATAATACACTCTTTTTTTTCTTGTTATTTAGAAGGGAGAAAGCATCTATGGGCCACTGTAGAATCCTGAGTCAAAGGGCTAGGTTAATTTAATGTGATAGCTAATTAATTGACAGCACACATTCTTAAAGTTTGCGTTGTGGAATTTAAGAAAACCTAGCAAAAATTACATTCATAAAAAATCTAATGACAGTTTTTAAAACATTAGTTTTTTAAAACATAGGAATTTCTGAGAAAACCTCTTTATATAGCATAAGTGATATTGCCCCACATATGTAGAAATCTTTTATTTATTTAAAACAATGTTATTTCTATTAAAAGAAGAGAACTTTATAAAACATAAATGGAGTTCCCCCACAAGGAGACATAAAATAGTTTTCTTTCAACAGTCAGAATATTTGTTTTTTATTTTCCTAACTTGAGAGAGCTGTTTTATCTTTGGCTTTTTTTCCCCTAACCTTAGTTTCATGATTTTGCTGATCGGAAGGACTGGGATGCATTCCATCCTACACTGGTGGCAGAAGGGCTTTTTGCATTTGCCAATGTTCTGAGTTATCTTCGTCTCTTTTTTATGTATACAACAAGCTCTATCTTGGGTCCATTACAGGTAAGTAATGAAAATTTCTTGAAGAAAGTTTGTAAAACGACTACACCTTTTACTTGTCCACTGGAACATTGTTTTCTCATGATATTAAAGCTAAACTTTGCTTTTGAGAAGAGTTAACAGTTGAAAAGTCACAGCATGTTCATCTGCTTTGCTTCTGGCTGAATGATAATCCTTTGCTTTTAGACGTTCCAGACTTTGTTAAGCTGTGGTCCATTGTCCCTCTCCCCCGAGTTCATAGACGCAGACGTATTTAAAATATAGTTATATTTCAGACAGTAGAGGGACATAAAATTTTGCTTTTTACCAAAATGAATTTCACATTTAAAGTTTTAAGCGATAAATATCAGGGAGATGTTCTACAAACAGAATTCATACTTCATGATGATTTTGAAAATATGTAAGTTATATTTTAACAAAATACTCTTTTACTTTGCTTAATAAATATCAAATGTAGTAAGTTGGAAAATAGAGTATTTAGAGCTAAGAAATTTCATAGAGCTTATGTAGTCCAACTTTATGCTTTACAGTACGTTATAGTTAAAGAAATTGAGCTTTTATCTTTTCAAAGTAGTATAATTATTATACAAGAGAGTCCAGGACTAAATTCTAAGTCTCTTTACACTAAAGAAAGGACTCGTAATTGGTTGCATGTACCCCACAGATTTTAGTAGCTGATTGTTCTTGAAGGGTGGAGCCAGTTCTGCTTGGTGACCAGCTCTACACAATACTTTGTTATTTTGTAAGTCTGAAAACCTGAGCAATATTCATTTTTCCTTGTTAAGTCAAAATTTACTAACAATTTAGATTCTCTTTTGTATTTTTAAAGGAGATATTTTAAATAAAATGCATAATTACCTTCTCCAACAGAGATATGAAAACAAAATATGTAGGAAAAAACCCATTTGATTTGGCTTGTGCTGTCATCCTCCAAGAGTGTTTCCTGAAGTGTGACTCCCTCTTAGCCAAGTCCTGTGAGATGTTCAGACTGAAATAAGTTTGGGATACGCTGCATTCTGTATAACCTCTTTCGGGAATTCACAGTACACATTATCACATTAAAGCCTATGAGAAAGAAGTAAAGAAACTTGTTTGATCTTGTTCAAACTATCATCACCTAAATTCAGTTAACATCATACCCATTTTTCATGAAATACGCTCAGGTCTCTTTTTTTCTCCGAAACATGGTTTGTGAAATGCTGGTTTAGACTATCTGTTATTTTGATTTAATTTTATCACTAATGTCTTCTATAAATGTTTTAATCAAGAGTCCACAGTATTTCTACATGCACATTGTTTTCTTTGTTTTTTAGCTAAAAACTGATGGTATCACTAAGTTTCTATACTGAAAATTTCTTTACAGATTTTTACAAGTTAAAAAGGAAAAAGTATATTATTATTTCTTAGCAAATTATTTGTTTCTTTTTCTTAGAACTGTTGAGTCAGGTCTTCCTGACTTAATCTTTTCCCAAAAGAACTATAGACACGTATACAAATACTGCGTAAGTGGGTATTTGTCTTTTCAGCTGTGGTGTGTGTTTTTCTCCTCCAGCAGGGTACTTTATATTGTTCTAATAGACATAGAACTAGCAAATAATTTAAGTGAAGCTGACAAATATTTAGTGTGCTCCTATTTTTTAAAAGGTCTACAGGTTAATCATAATATATGTTTAAATATTATGATCTAGTCCAGCAAATGATTTTTTAAAAAACTTATCTTAAGGTATAATTTGCCATACAGTAAAATGTACCCATCTTAACTGTATAGTTTGATGAGTTTTGCAAATATATAAACTTGTCTCGAGTGTGACTCGTTCTCATGGTCGCAGGCTCCCTGCTCCAAGTCATTATATAAAGTCTGCATCCAGCAGGAAGAAGGGGAGAGGCAGAGAGCATGAGCCAGCTGTCTTTCTTTTTTTTAACAAGAGGACAATTATTTTTCCTGGAGGCCTACCAAATACTTCCACTTATAACTCATTGGCCAGAATTGGGTCACATGGCTGTTGGTATCTCTGAGGAGATGAGTACTTTTAATTGAGCATATTTCCCCCCAAGAAACCAAGGTCTGGTTAGTCAGAAGGAGGATGAAAAATAGATATTTAGTAAGAATCTGTAGAGTCCTATCTTCAGGCTTTTACTTAAAAAAATTCTCCAATAAAGTTATTTGTTTTCCAGTGTAATCTTATTGACATGACAGATTTGTATAACATATTGGTAACAAAGAACTCTAGAATAATTTTGTGCAGAAGATTTATAATACATTTTCTTCTATTTTGTTAATCAGAAGCAAGGAACTCAATTAAAAGAGTGATCCAATTATGAATCTAAAGCGAAAAGAAGTGCAAAAGGAAAATTGACAATAAGTTAACTACTTTAGTTAAAGTGCAGCTTTTTTTCTTTACATAACATGCTATGTCAGATAATGTTTTTCTGTGATTTCTGCAGTTGTTTGTTAAATTTATCTCCATTTACTAACATTTTTTTCCTTCCAAATCTTTGTAGATTTAGAAGCTGACAGACTTTTATTTTAGCTGGTTATATAACCTGCAGTAGGAGTCCAGATCTCTCCTTTAGTTAGAATGACTATAATTTATCATCCAAATAGAGACACTTTGGAGAATGAAAAGGATATTATTCATTACTAAGTTGGGACAACAGCTGTGAACTGGGACTCTACCAGGAAAAGCAAGGTCATGGAATTATCCTGTAGTGGAATACATAAAATCCTGATTCAGCAGTGACTGAATCCTTCATTCTATTACTTGAAATTTGTATGATTGTATTTGTTAAATTTCTGACATGTTGTAGGTAGACTTTGGAAGGTGGCCTTCTACAATTGGGCCTTACTTTCTAGCCATTGCTCACTATACTCATCTCCTTATCTCTTCATGAAATACTTCTCCATCTGGGCCAAGACCAGTCGCTAATCTCACACAGGTCCTGTGCTTTCCCACTTCCTTGTCATTTTTTATGTTATTACCCTGTTTAGAATGTCCCAGACCCGGGGTCCCCAACCCCCAGGCCACGGACCGGGATCAGTCCAAGGCCTGTTATGAACCAGACTGCGCAGCAGGAGGTGAGCGGCAGGCAAGCAAGTGAAGCTTCATCTGCTGCTCCCCGTCGCTCCCCATCGCTTGCATTACCGCCTGCACCATTCCCCACCCCCGCCCGCCCCGTATGTGGAAAAATTATCTTCCACGAAAACAGGCCCTGATGCCAAAAAGGTTGGGGACCGCTGTCACAGACTATCCTCTGCTTGTTGAAACTTTACTTATTCATTCAATAAACATTTATTGAGTGCCTGATAGGTACTGGACACTGGGAATACGAAAGTGAGTATGCTGCAGTCTCCTTTTAAAGAATGCATAGTTCACCGAGGATGACAAGCCAATGACAACATTTGGAATGGTAGATGCTGTAATAGAGAGCTCAGAGGAAGGGTACTCACTTCAGCTGAAGGCATCAGAGGAGACTTCCCAGAAGAGATGACACTGAAATTAAGCCTTAAAAGATGAGTTGAAAGGAGATTGGCTGTGGGGCATTCCAGGGAGAGGGGACATGCACCAGCTTTAGTGTCCCCACCACTAGAAAATCTGTTCCTACACTCGTACTCCCATGAGAATGAATTTCTCCATATGGTGGACTTAATGTCTGTCTGTTGAATTGAGTTGAAAAACTTGTTAGATGGGGTTGAGTAAATACAAGCACTGATTGGTCTGAGAAAACAAAAAAATATGATGGAGAAATAGGGCTACATCCTAGCTATTGCTGTACCTGCTTGTTCCCAATAATAACAGCAACTAACATTTATTGAACGTTTCATGTGGGCCAGGCACTCTGTTATATGTTTTCAATTTTATTTAACCCTCATCACAACCCTGGTTAGTTTTTATTTTCATTTTACAAATGGAGGGTTTAAGGCTTAGGGACAGAAATAGTTTCACAGAACTATTAAGTGGCAGAGTCAAGAGCTGAGCCTGCGTCGGTCTGACTCCAGAGACCAGCCTGCTCTTTGAAGTTAGCTCTCCTGCTTTTTGGAATTCAGGATGCCAGCTAATCTACCTCAGCAGATGTAAGAGACATGATTGGGCATAAATCAGTAACGTTACATACTTCAACAACCAAAAAAAAAAAAAAGACACAATCTATAAATAATCGTGAATAATAGTAATATTAACAGTGAACATTTGAGTCCTTAACTGTGTGTCAGATACTATTCTAAGATCTTTATTTACATTTATGGCCTCATTCAATCCTCACAACCATTCGAAGAGGTGGACTCTTTTATTTACATTTTACAGAGGAAGCAACTTAGGTGTAGAGCCATTAAGTAACTTGTACGAGGTCACACGGCTGATAAGTAGTAGAACTGGGATTCCAACCCAGGTAGTTTGGCTCCAGAGCTAATGGTCTTAACCACTGTGCTGACTTGCTTCTCAGAGTTTTCTTGAGTAATATGAGCCCCTCATTAACTTTTACTGTACAATACTTCTGTTGGCAGGCTTTCATAATTTATAGATTTTTAAAATTCTTCTTCATTTATCCATGTGTGTCAAATGACTTATGCAGCCTTTAATACTGGTAGTTGGGTGATTAGACAAGAAGGAAAAGACAGCATCACACAGCTTGGTTCAGAATCTTGCTCCATAACTTACTGCTGCCTCTTCTCTTTGAGTCTCAGTTTCTGTATCTGTTGTGAGGATTGAATGGGTCAGTGTATATCACATGCATAGCAGAGTACCTGACGCATCATGGGCTTTACATAAACGTTTAGATCCATTCCTCCATTCCCTGAGAGTAGTGGAGGTAACTGTGACCGACCTGAAAAATAATACAAGAAAACTTGGAAAGTGAATGTAGTATGTGACACACGAGTGCATCCTTTATTCCTAGTGAATTGTTTGTTTTTATTGGATAATTATCAGACTTAGTTTAGTGGCCTGTATAACATAAATGGCATATTGTTGTTGTTTGTAAAGTATTGTTCTTTGTGAGTAAAGAGTGATTTCAGGTGTTTTGCATTTTAGAGTATACTGGGGATGGATATTTTTTCTTGAAAGGAGTATGGAATGTCAGAGCTACAGGGAAACTTAGAAGTCATATAGTCTAGGGATTCAAAAACTGGAGAGGCTGCAAGGATGGTGTGGGGAACACATTTAACCTACATTCTCCAGTCCTGCCCTCAGAGATGCTGATTAAATAGTTTGGGGTGAAGTCTGACAAATTTTTAATAGCATGTAGATGAGCAAGTCTGATGCAGCATGTGGCCATTTCTTTTATAGGTCAGGAAAGTAAGGCCCAGCTCACATAGTGTTAGAAAAAAGACGGTGCAAAATGTTAATTAACAATTACATCTTTTAAAATACATTTATTCGTGTATTAATTCAACAAGCCCTGCTGTGTAGGCAAAATGCGTGAGAACTAAATATTTCTTAATTGTACCCAGCCCCAAATTTCTAATGGGAGCGCTAAGGTAAAAACCGCAAAGTGATGTTTTAGAAAAGCCCTTGCAAGGAGTCAGAAGCAAGAATTCAATTCCACCTTTGCCATCTATTAGTTCTTTCACCCTGAGCAATTCACTAAATCTTTGTGAGTTTCAGTTTGTCACTTGGAGAAATGGAGATGATGCTAGCCTTCCCCACCTTTCAGGATGAATAAAAATATGTGATACCTTCTGTTAAATGGTAAAGAGTTAGATAAAAGACATATAAAAAGTAGTTATGTATTCAGTATTTTATTTATTTATTTTTGGCTCTGTTGGGTCTTCGTTTCTGTGCGAGGGCTGTCTCTAGTTGCGACAAGCGGGGGCCACTCTTCATCGCGGTGTGCGGGCCTCTCACTATCGCAGCCTCTCTTGTTGCGGAGCACAGGCTCCAGACGCGCAGGCTCAGTAGTTGTGGCTCACGGGCCTAGTTGCTCCGCGGCATGTGAGATCTTCCCAGACCAGGGCTCGAACCCATGTCCTCTGTATTGGCAGGGAGATTCTCAACCACTGCGCCACCAGGGAAGCCCCTGTATTCAGTATTTTAATTAATATGCCCGGCTCTGGAGCTTACTGACATTGTGCCTGCCCTTAAAGACTGCTAGAAGAGACAAACATAAAGTATAAAGTGAAGAATACTATTTTAGAGACTACATACAAAGGACTTGGGAGCATGACTGAGGGGGTGCTTGGAGAGAGGAAGTTTCAGTTGTCTGAGTTCTTTGTACAATTTTGGGTATTAACCCCTTATCAGACACATCATTTACAAATATCTTCTCCAATTTGGTAGGCTGCCTTTTCATTTGTTGATGGTTTCCTTTGCTGTGCAAGAGCTTTTAAGTTTGAGTAGGTCCCATTTGTTTATTTTTGCTTTTGCTTCCCTTGCCTGAGGAGACATATCAAAAAATGTATTGCTAAGACCAATATCAAAGAGGCATACTGGCTTATATTTTCTTCTAGGAGTTTTACGGTTTCAGGTTTTTGTATGTGGTGTGAGAAGTAGTCCAGTTTGATTCTTTTGACACATGTAAAGGGCATCTTGAGCATGAATGGCTTGATTAGATAGATGGATTATCTTTCCTACAGATAATTATGGGTTTTTCTGGAGAAAGATTTGGAAAACGAATGACTGGAACTTATTATTATTTCTTCCCTTTTGTCAGCCACTTTTATAAATGAACACTTAATATGCACCCTAATGATAACACCTCTTTCCTCTATCAGGCATTTAGCATGTTTTTGCTATTCTACATAGTGCTCTGTGTATGAGGCTTTTTCCTCTGTTTAATTATTTCCTAAGGATACATCTTCAGTAGTATTAACATATTAAAAGATAGGATTCTTATAGTGCCTCAGTATTTCTCTTTCTTTATAAAAGGATGTGTTAATTTTCAGTCACACAAACAGTGTAAAAGCACACAAACAGTTCACCACGTTAATAGCTTCAGTGCTATCTTTCTTTGTTATACTATCTTAGTAGTTTTCTTTAATTTCCATTCTTCTGATTACTAGGAAAATATTTTTCTCTGTGTGTACTAGTGTTAACTACTGTGTAAATTTCAGTATTAATTTTTAAACTACCATCTTTTTTTATTACTGTTCATATTTCTCAATTAAAACTACTAAGTAGTTGAAAATAAGTAAACATGTAAGAAAGCGTGATTGTTATTTTTACAAATAAATGAGCCTTATAATCTTTCTCAGACTAAAATTAATTTACTGCTTTTAATGTTTGCATTTCACATGCATGTTTCATTAGTGTGCTCTTCAAGCTAATGTTCACCTCAGCGATATCCACCGTAGCTAATTTTGGTTCTTCCATGTAATACAAGAACTAATATCATGTTTTTAAAAAACAAGTCATGAAGTTTGTAGTGTTTTCATTAAATATTGCTCATCTTGATATTGAAATTAAATTACTCTTATCTTTAAAACAGTAATATTAAGGGCTTCCCTGGTGGCGCAGTGGTTGAGAGTCCGCCTGCTGATTCAGGGGACACGGGTTCGTGCCCCGGTTCGGGAAGATCCCACATGCCACGGAGCGGCTAGGCCCGTGAGCCATGGCCGCTGAGCCTGCACGTCTGGAGCCTGTGCTCCACAACGGGAGAGGCCACAACAGTGAGAGGCCCGCGTACCGCAAAAAAAAAAAAAAACAGTAATATTAAATTAAGGCTTTTACTTTTGGACTAAATTTTTGAAATTAAAATTATAACAGCATACATGATCACTCTTGGAAAACTTTATTTACCTTTAAGCTCACAGTGGCTAAATTTTCTTCAAATCCAATCTTTTCTGTACTTATCTAAAGCAGTTATTGTACTCTTACTGTCATACATTATTAGGTTCTCTACTAACACGATATGGCTTTATTCTAAGCACTCACAATCTGAATAAATGATTTCTTTCCAAAGTGACCTAATAAAGCTATCATTGATTAAGAGAGAAATGTATTTCTTCTCTTTCTCACACATTTTGAACTTTCTGATTCTAAAAGTTTTCTGTTGCTTCCATCAGAATTTTGCAAGGGGGCTAAGTGAGGGAAGCATAAGATTTTGAAAAGAGTCACATGCTAGTCAAGTGCATAAAAGTCAGGCATAGTGGACCTCGCCACTCCAAGTCGCCTGGAATACTAGCTTGTGCTGTGCCTAAAAATTCTACCACACCTCTTGGACTTAATTAGCTGGCTCACTATAGTGGGCTGGAGGGGCTTGGCCACTTGCCTGCTGCTACTATTTTGTATGTGATTGGCATGTGTTATGTTGGCAGGCTCGAGGGAGTTCGGAATTTTATTTGAAGTTGGATTTCACTAATTATATAAATTTGGCCTGGTTACATTTGAGGAGGGATTATTTCTAAACACTTAATTTTTGTATCTTAAAAGTAATAAATGCATATAGCAAAGAAGATTCAAACCACACCCCTAGTCCTACCTCCTACAGATAAACACTGTTAATGGTTTCTTGTGTAAACTTCCAGAAATTTCCTGTGCATATCAAACCTTATCTATATGAAAATATATATCTGACCTATCCTGTAAAAAATAGCTGTTTAATACTGTTGTGTACCCTGCTTTTTTGACTTAATGTTTTGTAGGCATCTTTCTATGCCAGCACATAGTACTTCATTCTTTTTAACAACAGCATTTAGGATGTTCTAATTTCTTTTTCTACAGGGCTACAATGAAAATCCTTGTATGTAATGCATCTTTGTGTACTTCCTGTTGGCTAAATTCCTAGGGATAGAATTTCGGTATCAAAGCGTAATGTTAAATTATTCTCCAAATTTGTATGCCAATTTAAATAACAAGAATTTATGAAAAGTACCTATTCCCCAGAATTTGAAAGAGTATTAAAGGAGAATGAAATTAGGCTTGAATAAAGCTCCCAGATGCATTACACATGTCTAAATTATGGTAGATACTCACATAAGTATTAGACGCTCTCATTTGACTTAACATGTGTAATTTTTTCTTATAATAGACCCCAAATGAAAGAGAATTGATCACCTTGGCAAAAGAGATTAGGGCAGTCCTAGAGGGGGAAATGCTGTTCTTCAGGAAGTGGTTTAAATTGGTTGCAAAAATCAAATGAAATACTTTATGTCCTAATGGTTTTATATTTGTAAACTTTGAGAAAATATAAATATAAGCATTTACTTCCCTTTAGGTTTTAGCAAAGAATTTTCCTTTCATCCCTTTCAAATTAGGCCTTTTCTTAAATCTCTATGTCTCTTCCTCTACCTTCATAGCAAAATTATCCTCTGCAGACTTGGTCCAGATTCAAGGAATGTACCATCCAACACTCATAGTGCTGGCATGATCAGAATGGCTTTTTGTTTGGCAACTGGATTTTTGGTGTTTTAAAAGTGATGAAATATCTCAAACAGGTGGAAAAAAAGGAGTAGCCTGGTGGATCATATGTTTTCTTGCCTGGTCATTTAGTTTTTCATATTTTGTTTTCCTGATGACTTTAATGAATGCCTATGTAATATATTCCACAGATTTCAATGGGACAGATGTTACAAGATTTTGGAAAATTTCTTGGAATGTTTCTTCTTGTTTTGTTTTCTTTCACAATTGGACTGACACAACTGTATGATAAAGACTATACTCCAAAAGAACAGAAGGACTGTGTAGGCATCTTCTGTGAACAGCAAAGCAATGATACCTTCCATTCGTGAGTGTCTTTTAAATTTTTAGTAAATATATGTCTGTCTTTCTGTTGTGTTATGTGTGAATTCATACCTACAGAACTAGGACTTCAAATTTTCTTTAAGAAATGCGTTTTGAATAAGAAATACTTATTTTTCATGAATCATTTGATAGTCATCTTTACACATAGAATCTTAAATAATTAGTGGCCTGAGTTATTACATTGTCTCCTCAACTACAGTCTGTCTTAACAGAGGAACTCTTGCATTTTGTGCACTCTTAGCCTTTTGGGCAGGACAGTTCTTTGTGGGTCCTATATATGTATTGTGAGATGTTCCACGTCTCTGCCCTTCAAGTATTAATTGTCAGTGGCAATTGTCAGTCACTGTTACAACCAAAGCACTCTCAGATTTCAACACTTCTTAGGAGGTCATTAGGGTTGAGATTGTTAAAGCTTCAAGAACATTTTTTTTTTCTCTAATTTATTGTATCGGAAGGAATTGAACAACCAGTTGTGAGGCAGACAAAATACCTCCCCACATTCTTAGATAAAATAATGGAGAAGAGGTGTAGAATTACACGTTTGTTGTATTCCTATTATGTACCAAGTATTCTTTAGTTTATTTAAGGAATAAGATTAAATGAGTACTAAATATTCATCTAACACCTTCAGTATGCCAGACCCTGTTCTAAGTGCTAAGTAAATGAAGTATCAGTGAACAAAACTACCCTCATGGAGTTTATTATTCTAGTGAGGTGATACAGGCAATAAAAATAAAATATATAGTATATTGCACAGTATTGATATAGTATATATCAGTATTACACAGGCCCTTGCCTGTAGCCCAAATAAAGCTTGGGCCAGGGAGGATTTTTGTGTGAGAGGGTCTAGCTTTAGTTAGGTAGGAGGTTAAGGAAGGCCTCACAAAAGATGACATCCAAGTAAAGATATAAAGCTGGTGAAGGATCAAGCCATGAAAAGGTATCTGGAGGAGGAGCATTGGCAGATAGGGGAATGGTAAATGCAAATGCCTTGAGATGGGAGTGTGGTTGGTATGTTCAAGGAAAAGCCAGGAGGTCAGCGTGGATGGTATGTAGTGAATCAGAGCGAGAGCTGTAGTAGATTAGGTCAGGAAGATAATGGGGAATAAAGCGGATCAAGATGGTGGAGTAGGAGGACTTGGAGCTCACCTCCCCCCTACAAACACATCAAAAATACATCTACATGTGGAATAATTCTCACTGAAAGCTAGCTGGAAATAGGCAGAAGGACTCCTGTACAACCAAGGCTGTAAGAAAGGTATACATGTAATCGGGTAGGATGAGAAGAAAGTGATTGGTCAGGACCTGTGCCCTGAGAAGGGATTCAAAGGAAAAGGGAGATTACACAGGTGGATACTCACCCTGGGGAGTTAGTGGGTCAAGCCACAGACTGGGTGTTCCAGTCTGGTTTCTATGCATAGGAGACAAGCCCCCTTAACTGGCTGGAGAAACCCTGGGAGAGATAGAAAGGCTGGAACAGCCTGGATGCCACTCATGAGGGGTGCAGGTGCTGGCTTGCCCCCTGCTAGGGCAGAGAGAGGTCTGCTCTAGTGGCTGTCAGGTTTCCTGTGACCACCTTGCTGCTCTCCCCAGCCCGAACTGAGAGAATACCCCAGCTCCGCTCATTCCACATCACAGCATGGCACTGGATCTAGGGCATCCAGGACTTGGGAGAAGACTCGTCCTTGTGACATAGAGGCAACCAGTCCTGGAGCGTAGCCCAGGTGGTGCGGCAGCTGCCATTGTTGGAGCTTACTCCAGTGGCACCCCAGAAGCAGCCCAGAGTTTTGACAGCAGCATAGCTGCTGGGTTTCCTGTCACCACCTTGCTATGTGCCCAAACCCAGGCTGAGTGGATGCTCTGGCCCCACTCACTTCACACCATAGAGCAGCGCTCCATCTGGGGTGGCCAATACCAGGGAAAAGACATGACCATGGGCTGCATCTGCGTGGAGCCACGGACACCTACACAGGTAGTGCATTAGACTTCTATAAGTGCATGAACCCCACTTACTTCAGTACCCCCCTCCTTTGGGGCAAAGATCCTGGTGTGGGGAGAAGGAAAAACACACTTGAAAAGGAACAGAGCCAGCTCTAGCCTGATCCTCAGGGCTTTTACTCCAGCAGCTTGGGAGCAGATCCCACAGGGCAGTGATGGCCAGTGAGCAAAGAGAACATCACACCTCACACCCTGCGTGGGCTCTGGCTCTTCCATCTCTAGCCATACCTCCTACCAAGGTCATAGCTGCCAGCATACCCTGAGGAAACACTGGTGTCCACATCAAATCCAGCCACCCCACCAAAGGCATTGGATACACACATAAGAACACCCCTTCAAGACCACAATAGGTAACTGTTTCACCTAAATTCAGAGGCAAAGAAAGTTAAGTAAAATGAAAAGGCAGAGGAAGTACTCTCAATTGAAAAAGTAAGAGAAAAACCTTGAAAAAATAAATAATGAGACAGAAATAAACAATTTACCAGATAAAGAATTCACGTCATTGGTAATAAAAATGCTAACTAAATTAGTTTAGATCAAGAGAATTGATCTAAACAAAGATCATTTTAACAAGGAACTAGAAAATATAAAAAAGACCCAAACAAAAATAGGCAATTCAATATCTGAAATAAAAAACAGTCTGAATAACAACCTAAGTGACACAGAAGAACACATAAGTGATCTGGAAGATAGAATAAAGGAAATCACCCAATCAGAACAGCAGAAAGAAAGACAAATGAAAATAAACAAAAAAACAAAAGGAGTCCACTAGATTTCTAGGATAACATTAAACATACCAACATTCACATAATAGGGGTTCCAGAAGGAGAAGAGAGAGAAGGGGATCAAAAATGTATTTGAAGAAATTATGGCTGAAACTTTCCCAAATCTGAAGAAGGAAACAGATATCCAGGTACAGGAAGCACAGAGGGTCCAAAACAAGATGAAACCAAACAGACCCACATCAAGACATATCATAAACAACATGGCAAAAGTTAAAGAGAATTCTAAAGGCATGAAGAGAAAATCAGTCATATACAAGGGAATCCCCATAAGACTATCAGCTGATTTTCTCTGCAGAAACTTTGCGGGCCAAAAGGGAGAGGCTTGATATATTCAAAGTGCTGAGAGGAAAAAAACCTACAACCTAGGATACTCTACCCAGCAAGATTATCATTTAGAATAGAAGGAGAAATAAAGAACTTATCAGACAATCAAAAACTAAAAGAATTCATCAATAGTAAACCTAAAAAATGTTGAAGGGTCTTCTCTAAATGGAAAAGAAGCAAGAATCTATAGGAAAGGGGAAATCCCACTAGGAAAGGCAGTTATATAGTAAGGATTGAAGATTACTTTAAAAAGCCAGTACATAGATGGAAAGAAAAAAACATACACACAAAAGCAACTATAAGTGCAGTAAACAGTTGAGAGATAAGCATCAAGATACAAAATATGACATTAGAAACACAATGTGGGTGAGGGGGGTAAAAATGTAGATCTTTTAAAATGTGTTTGAACTTAAATGACTATCAGTTCAAAACAAGTAGATATAATTATGGCACAGCATATATGAGCCCTATGGTAAACACAAATCAAAAACCTATGATAGGGCTTCCCTGGTGGCGCAGTGGTTGAGAGTCCGCCTGCCAATGCAGGGGACACGGGTTCATGCCCTGGTCTGGGAAGATCCCACGTGCCGCAGAGCGGCTAGGCCCCTGAGCCATGGCCACTGAGCCTGTGCGTCCAGAGCCTGTGCTCCACAACGGGAGAGGCCACAACAGTGAGAGGCCTGCGTACTGCAAAAAACAAAAACAAAAACAAAAACCTATAATAGATATGCAAAAACCAAAAAGAAAGGAACTCAAGCATACTACTAAAGGAAATCATCAAACCACAAGAGAAACAAAAAGAAGAAATGAACAGAAGAGAACTACAAAAACAACTGGAAAACAAGGAATAAAATGGTAATAACTGCATACATATCAATAACTACGTTAAATGTCAATGGACTAAATGCTCCAATCAAAAGACATAGGGTGGCTGATTCCATGAAAACACAAGACCCTTCAATATGCTGCCTGCAAGAAGAGACTCACTTCAGGGCTAAAGAAACACAGAAAAAGTGAGGGATAGAAAAAGATACTTCATGAAGATGAAAATGACAAAGAAGCAGGGATAGCAGTACTCATATCAGACAAAATAGACTTTAAAACAAAGCCTGTAACAAAAGACAAAGACGAACACTGTATAATGATAAAGGGATACAGAAAAGGGGATGTTACACTCATTAACATATATGCACCCAATACAGGAGCACCTAAATATATAAAGCAAATACTAACAGACATAAAGGGAGAAATTGATAGTAATACAATAATAGTAGGGGACTTTAACCTCTCAGTGACATCAATGGATAGATCATCCAAATAAAATCAGTAAGAAAACAGTGTTCCTAAATGACACCATAGACCAGTTGAACTTAATTGATACTTACAGGACATTCCATCCCAGAACAGCAGAATACACATTCTTTTCACGTGTGTAAGGAATGTTCTCCAGGATGGATCACATACTAGGCCACAAAACAAGCCTTAATACATTTAAGAGAATAGAAATTATATGAAGCATTTTTTTCTGACTGCAGTGGTATGAAACTAGAAATCAACTATAGAAAGGAAAATGGGAAAAGAACAAACACATGGAGACTAAATAACATGCTACTAAAAAACCAATGGGTCAATGATAAAATCAAAGAGGAAATCAGAAAATAGCTCGAGACAAATGAAAATGGAAACACAACTTTCCAAAATTTGAGGGGTGCAGCAAAAGCAGTTCTAAGAGGGAAGTTTATAGCAATACTGGCCTTCCTCAAGAAATAAGAAGGGCTTCCCTGGTGGCGCAGTGCTTGAGAGTCCGCCTGCCATTGCAGGAGACGCAGGTTCGTGCCCCGTTTCGGGAAGATCCCACATGCCGCGGAGCGGCTGGGCCCGTGAGCCATGGCCGCTGAGCCTGCGCGTCCGGAGCCTGTGCTCCGCAAATGGGAGAGGCCACAACAG